GCGCGTGCACGCGCCACGTGCAGAACCAGCATCACGAGCTGATTCGCCGAGCGGTGAATGACATTCGATCAAAATGACATTTACTTTACCGTCTGACAGGGGTATAAGAGTGCTTAACTTCCTCATTTTTACCGCCTCACGTGCGCCAGGTTGTCTATTACCGAGAGTCATAACCTTCGACACTAAAATGAATTAAACACTCTCCAATTACTTGTTATTTCCACCACCGCCACCGGGGGATCCTTCGCGGCTTTCGGTTGGACACTTTCGGCAGGCTCTGCTCTGACCGCGCCCTCGTTTCTCCTATTTACCAAACTCTCTCAATAGTTTTTTTATAAAGAGTATTCACTGGCGGCCATAGCTGTGTGCGCGACTGCTCAGCGCATGCTGATGGCGTGCTTCCACAGTTCTTTCGCCACGTGCATTCCGCACCACCAAGATTGACGGCCTTAGCAGCCTATTAACGTGAGCTCGTTCCGAGCATGCGCTCTAAACATCGCCCTCAAATATGGCGTCCATTGAAAGCTCATTCAAGCAAAAAAAATTGTTGTGCTGAACGTGCACGTGACCCCCGCTCTGAGTCTACCAGACGTGCACGCGCGTGCGGTGCAAGCGTCACAAAGGGCAGCACACCCGCGCTTATGTAGTCCCCGTTTGCACTTATTCGCGGCGAGAAGTTTGAGTATCGCCGCCTGGGGGCCTTATGCAGCGCTTTTTGGACCCCCACGGCGACTACGGAGAAAGAAGTGACGTCAACAACGCAGCAAACGCAGATTAGATGTTGATTAGTGAGAGTCGCTGATCACGAATTTCCGCAGAAGAAAACAAAGAAAAAGTGAGCTTTGTTTTCTTCTGCGGAAATTCGTCCTCGGCGACTCTCACCAATCAACATTCAATCTGCGTTTAGTGCGTTGTTGACGTCACTTCCTTCTCCCTGGTCGCCATCCCTACCGAAAAATCCGGTATAACTATTCACTATCCGGATTATGGAACCGGAAATTTGTTTCTGGAAACCCGAAATCCAGATTGCAGACAAAGGAATAATTTATGAAAACCTAAAATCCAGTTAGAGTCCAGATAGAATCCAGGTAAATTTCCAGTTCCATAATCTGGATAGCGAAAAGTTATAACGGATTTTTCGGTAGGGGTGGGAGTCCAAAAAACGCAAAACAGGGCCCCCGGTCGAATTTTTTTAGAGCCCAGTGTGAGGATACTTCAAGTTCACCTGCAGGTGCAAGCACGTGCAGTGCCAAGCGTCTATGTACTACGAAAATTAAAACATAGCCGAGTGGGTAGCACGTGCACTACCCCTAGTAAGGACACTTCCGGACTGGATACACGCTCGATGTCTTACGTCCTGTACAGAGGGAGGCATCATAACACCTATGCTTTCCAAGCTGCACTGGCATAGTAGGCTCTAAGCGCCACTGGGTGGCCGGGTACTGCACCAGAGCGACTGCAATCAAAGGTACGGAAGCGCATGCTTGAGCCAAATACTTTATAAAGGGGTTTGGCGCAGTTTGGATGACTGGAAGACCAGCAACCTTGAGCTTTTTCGCATTGTAATTGTGAGTTGTGGGAGGCGCCACCTATTTCCGAGGAAGTCGCGCCACAGGTCGTTCGGTCGATGCCAGTGTTTGCCCGATATCTGTTGTAGCTTGTTCCCTAAACAAGTTTAAAGCAAAAATATGTTGTTGTTGTTTTTGTTTTTTTTTACGGCGCGGCGAGACGTCAAATTGCGAGGGGAAAAATTGGTGCATTAGGCGCGCCGTCTAACGCAAATGAGCGGAGTAGGATGCATTGATCCTCGTCAAGTATTTGGTTGAGCGCTGACCAAAGTTGTGCGCGCGTGCTCTCTTCCCCTCTTTGAAAATGCCACAGAAAAATGTCCACGAGTAGAAACTCCGGCCAAAGCAAACTGGACAAGCCGACTGAAAAGGAGCGAACGCGTCAATTGTCTGTAAACTATCGCGGAGCCTGCATATGTCCAACTCTTTACGTTGTGCTGGAAAAGCGACATGCGCGTGAGGTGATGCTAGTTTCTCGGTGAAACGTTATTTTTGAGTATGATCTCTGAGAATCATTAGAAAAAAACATAATTACAGCGCCGCTGGAAGACCTGAATGCTGAGTCTCCCCCAGGTAATACCATGGCACAAAAATCGCAGGGTTTGAGCATTCTCTCGTCTATTCATTTGATTGCCATTAATGCACTAATCTGCTAAATGCTTTAATAACGGAATATAGGACCCCCTTTCCTCTGGCACTTTTTTTTTACCTTCATATCCCTACTAATATACTAACAGTTCCCGGCATAGCCCATCTTCAGACAAGAAGGTTCTTTCTCTGTATCTTTTTTTGTATTTTCTTTTTTCACGTAGTGCTTAGGCATTCTTCGCTGGGCAGCTGGTGGAAAGATACGCCAGAAGTATTCCGTGATGTTGACGTGCGATTCGAGACACAAAAATGCACCATATTGGGCCACGAGAAACAGACCCCTTTAAGCAGCAGGGTTAGCAGGGTGGAACAGCGAGAATAGTTAAAGCCCCTCTATCTTGGGAAACTTGGCGCCATTCATTGTTGTGGCAATGCTCTGAGATGCGTCCCGCGCGCCACTTCTGGGAAATTCATGGCGTCTGAAACCTAGCTCAGTGCTGCGCTGTGCCGCCATGATCTTCCCAAGGGCTGCACGTTGCCCGTGTCTCGTGCATCGACGCACATTGAGCTACTTTTAAAACATAAAGGGGCTTTAAGAAAAGTTGGGTGCCAGCGCCCCCATGCAGAAAGATACAGATGCTCTCTCCTGTGACGGAAAAGGCCGTATGAAAAAGAAGCGCGCGAATCCAGTCCAGCCGTGGTGAAGAAAACAGAAGCGCCCCTAGCGAGCTTCTCACCGGTAATAAAAAAACAGAGTTTAGACACCCGATAGCAATTTATTGTTCGCAGTCAGGGAGAGAAGTAAAATTGACGTTGCGGAAACAGAGCCTTTCTACTAAAACAAACGAGAAGTTTCGAGTACGTGTACTCGAACACGAGTACACGACGTTATAGTAGAGGCGGTAGTTGTGCGTCTTTTTGAACGTGTGCCGTTTAGATTATCTTCCGCGTCTCGGTCAAGGAAATGTCACGTAGGGATCGGAACGAGAACGAGCCTGGAAATCCTTGAAGCGTGCCAAACAGTAAGATCGTCAAGATCAGCTTCTCACGCGTGAGAAAATCCATCACAATCTCACTTCACAGAAGGAATGGATGATAATGAATGACATCGTGTTTTGGTTGCTATGTTTTTCACTCGAAATTGTTTTCCCTATTTTATCGAGCTTATAACGAGAGACGTTGCGAGAAAGCCATTGACCGCTTCTGAAAGTCCCTCTATTCACCCTGTCCTTTCTCCACGTCAAAAAAAAAAAAAAAAAAAAGTAGGACCTCTAGGAGATTGTGGATCGGTCCACGTACGTAGCCTGAACTCGCGAAGTTGAAGGTGGGTAATGTATGCACTTTTGGCGCCACATCACCACCATCCAGGCATAAACTATGGAGCTTCCGTGACGGCTACTAGGTGGCTCCGACGTTTGAAAGGCGTCTGTTGGACTTGGTAGTCAGCCCCACAAATTACCATTCTTATGTTGAGGGGTCTTGCAAAACCTTAATGTCGCGCTACCGGGATAAGATCAAACGAACAGAATAAAACAAGAAAACAAGGTGTGTCTTTCGGATGACGTAATAAAATCCGTGCATATGTTGTTTTTTTTTTTTTTTTTTTGCACAAGAAGGGGGCTTTTGATGACATTCTTTGCCGCAAACTGAAGCCGTTTACCAGCGTTTTTTTGGCTTCCATACTGTCACACAGTGTGTCGTTCTACGCACTAACTAAAAATCCGAGAGACTGCGCTGCTGTAGGAGCACACAATGCAAAAGCTGATATCAAACTCGAGTAATAAAAAAAGAACAAAAGCGGTACCAAAACATTTTCTCGCTTTTATGTTGCTTTCATGAAAGAGCGGGGTTCGATGGCCCCGTCTTTTTGTTACAGCAAAGAGATTACCGGCAACTATAAAGTGTACATACGCTTCCCTTTAATATGCTCAAAAATGCCTGACTATGCCATAGACTCGGTCAACTCTCACTCAAGCTCGCGATGAGCGTTTATATGTACGCCATAAAGCTTGCAGGCATTATGCTACGCCACACTTGCACCAGTTGTTCCGCTATTTACACGCCTACTTCCATTTCGCTAGAACGCGCCGTGGACACGGACATCCTCGCCCCGGCGAACTCGCTCGCTTTAGAGCGTACAGGTGCAGGGCCAGCTGTGTCCCGACTCGCGCACTATATTTACGAGTCACCGAGACAAAATGCGAAGCAACCGCCACATCTGCACGGAAAGCGATCGGAGTTCCTCCCAGCCCGGCCCGGAACTTGCCCTGCGCGCACCATCTGGGACACCAAACACTCGCTACGCTTGCCCTCGTGGAAGACTCGCCGTTTGATCAACGCCAACGTCAATCCCAAAAAAAGTTGAATGACACTGTCCATTCGCAGTCACGTTTTCGCCGTGAGCTGAGCCAAACGAGCGGAGATCTGCGTTGCCCTAAAACGCCACGTTGTACCTATTCCAGCCGGGCGCAAGCGCGTTGGATCAACGGGGCGCGGTTAGGCCTAGAGGTACTCACCGCCGCACCAAAATGCGCATCTGTGCGAAACGTTTGGGGCAGAGAAACACCGCGTTACGATGGGAGCGTTTGGCAGTACGAGCCTCGCATGCCATCGCGAACGCAACGCGAGATATTAGTGCGTTTGAGTCTCGACGCTGCTGTCCCGGCAAGCCATTGAACGCTGGCTGTCGCGTTGTGCAACGTAGCAGGAGCCACCCGAGTGATAAAATTCGTCGGCACCGCTCGCCAAAGAAACCCCTACAACAGCAGAAGTCGTTCTTTAACGCGGGGACGACGAAAGATCCAACGCACAGCGTTAAAGCGTGGGGAGAAAAGCAGCACTCACAGGTTGGCACGCCGGCAGGTCGTCTCCCCCGCAGAATTTCAAAGCCGCGAGGAGAAGCAGTCCCCCGCACGAAACGAGCGTCCGCACATTTCGCTGCATGGTGTTCAATGTGGTCTTCCTCGGTCGTCGTCGGCGGCGGCTTTGCTACTGCCCGTGGTCAGTCGACGAGACGAAAACACCCGCCGTCCCGGCAGAAACAACACAAACAGAACGGCGACGATCCGATCAACCGCAGGACATGCTTCGAAGAATCGGAAGCCGTCGGCGACGGCACGGGTACCGTTAGAGCGGCTCGGCGTCTCGTTGGATCAGCGCCCAGACCGGCATAGATCGCAGACGGATGCCGACCAGCGCTACAGCAGCGCTGTGCGGAGGAGCGGTAGAAACCGGCGGCGCATGCGTAGAAGGCGCGTGAGCGATCAACACGACAGCTGTGCCGGGAAGACTAGCGGCGGCGCTTCGGTCACTCTCGCCCTTGTTTCGATCTCGGAGCTTCGCCGCCGTTGCTCGCTGCCGGGTTGCAGACGTCCGATGGCTTCGTGTTTGTCAGCTGGCAGGAGGCTTAGGTAGAGACGTGCGGTGCGCGATAAACTGGCTATAAACGTGAGAAAAAAGAAATAATCCTTTCTTTATCTTTTTCGTTATCGTCGCCACCGTTCAGTCATCGTCTTTTTTTTTCCCCTTTTTTTTCTAGGGTTTGTTGGGCGTTTTAGTCCGTTATTTTTTAATTGAAACGGGCAAAGTGAGGAAATATTAATAGGTAAGATTGAAAAATAATAAATATACAAAATAAGACGCAAAAAGAAATGGGGCGGGCTGACGACAGACGCAATTTTCGGCGGAAGTAATTATCGTATGTACACAAAAGCTAAAAAATTCAGCACCATCTCTTTTTCTTTTTTCTTTTCGTCACGTGTTACATTATTAAACAGTGGGGGGAATATGCATGCCAGTGATTTAATGAAAAGAAGGCTACACTTGTCGGTGTTGACTGCAAAGAATGATCAATGTCGTTTCCTCTGGTGTAGGGTTAACGCAGAAGGGTCGATGAGACGAATACTTTCGAACATATTTCATTAGACAGTTTTAGTATAGCGTTGCTGGCTCTTACGTACGCAATACGCAATAGTATAGCGTACGCTAAAAACGACCCGCTCGGACCGATTTTAGTCGTGCGGTACGTTTCCGAGTAAACACCTCGCATGATCTTGGTTACATTTGCCAGAGTCGCAGAATTCCGCGTGCTTATAGTGCCACAATGCTCCTGAAAATGAATATCGGAAATGAAAACGTGTCCAATCATTTTATTCAAAGTCAAACCAAGCCGCAGCTGCCTCGTCCAGCGCGCTTTCTGCGGGGTACAGGGGCTACGAGTACGAGTGCGTAGCCAAATTCGATCACGGAGCCTCCGTCACTAGTCCCGTGGAAATGCCACCTTTCATCAATGCTATCGCGGAATGAAATCCATGACCTACTGAAGTCGCATAGCGAGAACTTCGGCGATTTCTTGCAGAGTCGTTCGTTCGTCGACGATGAACTGAGCGAATAGGGGGCATTCACTGGACGCCATATTTGAGGGTGCTATTGAGAGCGCATGCTCGGAACGAGCTCACATTAATAGGCTGCTAAGACCGGCAACCTTGACGGTGCGGAATGCACGTTACAAAAGAACTGTGGAAGCTTGTCATCCGCACGCGCTCAGCATTTGCGCACACGGCTATGGCCGCCAGTGAATACTCCCTACAGGCCTAGCGTCAAGTACAGGGTGTCACAAAAGAAAATTTACACGGTCTTTTTTACCTAAAAAATAAACTAGGCACCGCCGAACGCTCATTCTCCGCCCAAAGGTAGCCCTAGAGGTCACAACCGGATGCCAAAGTTTCAGCCCGATCCGATGACTTAATCAAAAGTTATAAGTGATTTTCTGAAAATTTCAATGGCAAAATGGAGCCCATTTTTGCCCGTTTTCGGTTTCTGGTGCCATAGAGCCCCATGTGTTTGAAAGCTCCGTCAGCCGCCATTTTCCCATTGAAATTTTCAGAAAATCAGTTGTAACTTTTGATTAAGTTATCGGATCGGGCTGAAACTTTGGCATCTGGTTGTGACCTCTAGCGCTACCTTTGGGCGGAGAATGAGCGTTCGGCGATGCCTAGTTTATTTCTGAAATAAAAAAGACCGTGTAAATTTTCTTTTGTGACACCCTGTAGATCGCAGCGTTGTGAGCACTTTCACTGTGCACTCTTTCAGCTGCACGGCGATCTGATTCGACCGCGGTACGTCCCAGAAAGAAGTGCCGCGCTGAACACCACGTTATTTCACCGTTCGTGTAACACAGAACGTAGAGAACACCACGACGCCCTTGCTGCACCAGTCAAGGTAACCGCCATCTTGAAACTGGAGCTCTCGTTGGGCCCGAGATCTCTCGAGAGCTTCCCGCAAGGCCCGCTAGACCGCAACGCAACATCCCCAGCGTTGCATGCGTACGCAATACGCTAGTCCTTCTACTGCGTTCTGAGCATGCGCACTCACGACCCGCAATTTCCTTGCGTACGCAAAGCTATAGCGTACGGTACACTAAAACTGTCTATTGTTTACACCTTAAATACGCTAGTTCGATTTACTTACACCAGCGTGCACCTTCCGCGCAGGAGGTGCGGGTAAATCTAAAGTCACTGAATCGCTGGGAAAGTAGTGCCATTACCTTCACTACCTGCCAGCGGGGCAAAAAAAGGTACTGACGCACAGACGACCAATTACTCACAGTATGATTGGCTGATCAGTCTCAGTTTCGATGGCAATCGCCATTTCGGTCCATTCAAATCTTCGAAGATTCGAAAGGGTCGTTCTGAACCAGTCGTTCCAAGATTTCCGTGGAGCATCGTCGTACTGAAAGCGTTCCTCGGCGAATATTAGTGTCTTTGGCGCTGTGCATGCAATAAACGTATCACTCATGCTTATTCCTAGATCTCTTACAATTATGTTGCTCTTCTTGCGTGTTTCAAGACAGTAAAATTATTTTTCAATGTCCCCAAGCACCGACGCCGCGTGTGATGCCGTACATCTTCGTGCCGCCATCACACGCAACATCAGTGTCAATGTGTATGCAATTAAATTATCCATCGTGCTTATCAACGAATCTTTTTATAATTTTATTGTTCACTTGCCTGTTTCAAGAGAGAAAAGGTATTTTCCAATGCCGCCAAGCACCGACATCGCATGTGGTGGTGATGCGAAAATGTGCGATTGCTTTGCTGGTATGTGGACAACAAAATCTCGGTATACAAGGAGTGTCTTTATGAAGAAACCTGTCATCGCGAATTTGAATCGGCTCACCAAGAATCTGGAAAGGCCGAGAAGAAACTGAAAATTTCATGGACCAAATGACGCCCATACGGGTACCTCTTTCCCTCCATCCAGTGACTTTATTAGGGCTAGAGCATTCGTACTTGAAGGGTCCAATTTTGCACGCTTGAGTGGTAGCAGATGTTTGGATCTGACTTCCGGCATTGACTTTATGGTGAGCGACAAAACAGCAAGCTATGGGTATGACATATCTTTAAATTTGTCCCTCCATCATTAACGAACTAGTGCGTGCAAACACGCCGGATGCTTGTAGAAGGCATTACTCATATGTGTTTTGTGAACAAAATCGCTTCGACCACTATCGCTTCTCCCCGGTGCTCTTCCGGTATTTATTTTGTTCGCGTTCCTACGTTCGTTTAACCCTTGGACGAACCTGGCAGCACGGCAGTGAATCATTGAACGAATGAACAATTGAACTATCAAGACGTCATTATTTTTTTTTTACAGCATTTGTTGGTCACTTTTTACTCGGGGGCTCGGCGTTCGCACAACAATGATTCTCAGTTGTTTTAAAACACGTTAAGCGTGCGTAAGTTATTTCTAGGCTTCCTTGTAAAATTCGTTGAACTTATCAGCGCCTCCAAGGCAAGGTAATGTTTCGCTCCAAAGGCACGTTATATGAATGATTTATGAAAATAAAACTAAAGTCGGTGAAAGGTTAAAAATAAATTTGAAGTTCCTCCCAGCTCTTTCCACCTTAGCGGAGCGAACATTGGAGAGGAGGAAACCTCCCTTCCAGCGTTCGCTCTGCTAAAGTGGAAAAAGGTGGGAGGTGCTTCCACTTTGCTCTTTACCTGTCTCCGACTGTAAAATACTTCTTTGTAACTTCTCTTCTCCACTGCAAAGCGGCAATGCGGTCAGCCAGGTTAGCGCGGTGCGGGTATTCACAGAAAAAATGTCGTTTGAAGGGGCCGAGCTACGATAATGGGTAGGAATATTTCTGACTTTACACGAGCTTACTCGCACTAGTGGGATCCAAGTATATTTGAATGCCACGCCACTGACCAAGAAGCTACTTTGTCGCCGCGTGATTGCAAGAATATAAGCCGACGTTTCTCTTTCGGTCTCTCCTTCGCAAAACTTAATGAAGATGTGGAGATCACATTGTTGGCGTTGTCAACAACGCGACCCCCAGAGTTTTGTCATCAAGCTTGGTGATCCCTGTGGTGACAATATTTAGAAGGGGTAAACGCTGCTTGTTTTTCTCGATTCTTTTTTTTTCTTCCGAGATTGCCATTCCGTGCAGAAAAAATAAAAAAATAAAGCGTGTTTTTTAGGTTACGAATTTCAAGGAATAATCCTAAGTTGTATTTACTGAAAGTACAAAATTTGCTGCATCACCACATTAAAACAAGAACAATAAGAAATTGTGTGTATTAGGGGTGGCAGTAGGAATGGGGAGGGGGGGGGGGGGTAATGTTTTTGCGCATTAAAAGCGAGCGGCGTGTACACCTCAGAGGATAAATTTATCACTGGCCATTTCCGTCGTCTTTTCGTCGCCTCTAAGGAAGAAATGGTCGAAATATGCAGATGAAAGAACCGTGTGCTAGCCGAATGGAGAGCGAAGGTTAGAAAGCCGCCTTAATACAATATTTGGCAGAGCTGGGGTTCCAACTCCGGGTTTTCTCGCAACCAGTGAGGTATATGCTAACCTGCATTCCCATTTGATGAGTGCGGTTCGCTCATCTGCATATTTCGACTATTTCCTTTTTAGAGACCACAAAAAGACGATGAAAATAATCGGTACTGTAATAGTATAGGTACGCTGTAAAATGAGCCGGAAAAATTGGCGCCTGCAAGTAGAAAGCTAAAAACTTTTACCGAAGGTGCATTAGGGTGGTGGGTTTTACCTTGGGAAATTTCAAGGCGTAGTTTTTCGTTTCCTGCAAACACTGAAACCAACAAACGTGGCAAAGTCAACAGGGGACGTGTTGGCAAACGACCGAGTTAGCGATGAATGGGATTGTGGCGCCATCTCCCAAAAGGCACAACGATAAAAAAAAACAAAAAAAAAACTTTGTGGTA